CGATTCATTTTGTAAGCAACTTCTAGCTGAGATACCACACAAGCTAGGAAACTGAAATTTTGAGAAAATGTTCCCCGCTCGCGCGTGAACTCGCTACACACCTGGGTGCCACTTATAAACACTTGAAAGTTTTGGTGAGAAAACTGTTATTTCAGGAACCACAGAACTAAGCAGGTGAAAATTTACGGAATTTTTTTCCGCCCAAGTGGGATGCAGTATATTTAGTTCCAGTTCCTCTGCCGCACCTCTGGGTGTCGTTTGCGTCCCCATGAAAGTTTTGCCGGGACCACAAAAGCTAGAAAACTGAAATTTCAGGATAATTTAGCTCGCACACGCATAGAGAGTATCCCTGCAATGTTTGCGAAATCTTTTCTTGCCAAAGAAATTTTCGAATTTTTTCCGAGGTCCATAAGCGGGGTTTAGGTGTGTATGAGCGAAAATTTTAAAACGGGAGGACGACATACGAGATAAGAATATTTACCTAAAATTTCAATTTCCCAGCTTTCCTGGTTGCTGAGATGAAAGTGGGTGAAAAAGTTCACTCGCTTCCAAACGCGCACACACAGCCGTCCTCCAGATAGTATAGGTTTCTATTCGCTATAACGCTGTAGCGCTGCACAGCAAAAACGCATAAAACAGCATGATCGCCTGGCAGGCCCACGTGTGTTCTAGCCCAGGGCCTTTTTTGCTTTTTATTTATTTCGTTATGCAAATTCATAAAAGCATTTCTCAGTAGGTAACCACTGAACATGTAGTGTGTAGTAACCATAGGTGTGCAATTCAGGATCGAACGGTTTAACGTAGTGAGTCCAGAATATGTGGAATACTTCCTTCAGTAATTACGTGAGCCGTCTTGTACTTTTGGTATTATGGTCGTGTTGTATCTTTCATTCTGTATTTCTAATCCATGTACAGAGTTGTCTTTGCCGGGCTAACGAGGTTATTCCAGTAATGCTACTAATGCGAGAAATCCACCCTAAACGCCCAGACAGTCACAGTTTCGTTGAAATAGAAATTTGCGGTTATCTTGCACCTGAAATGTGTACTCCATCACATTGCAGTGTTTCTGTTGCAGGCCAAACCTTGGCAAATAATCGAAGCAGATATATCGTCAATTTCGGCAGCATGTACAAGCGGATGCAAAGATGGTGGCGTTGAGCTGAAAACTTATATTGACAAACGACTAACCGGTTACCGGTATGCTTTTTATGTTGGGAAGTACCACAAATTACTCCTTCTGAAAAAGATGAATTTTGAGAATTGCTCAGAAGTTGAACTGCCCGTACGAACAAACCGGCTGTGTTTACTGTGCACTGTTTTTATTTGTGTACATTATGCACACGGTATGTAAAATCTTCGAGACGGACGGCTCTCTTGGGGTTACTTGTCTCCAATAGACATCGTATACAAGTAAGCTATATGTACTGATATATCAAATGCACGAATTGCCAGCAAAATAATCGTAGTATCTACTAACATTTATGCAGCAAATGCGTGCCTCATTATGTATTTCAACTTCCCAATGTATATGTTGAGAATTAAACGTGGAATAAATTTCAGGTTTTGTTGCCCTTGGTCTGTTGGGAAGCTGGTTTACGCACAAGGCCCGGTACTTCCAATAATTTTCTTCAACAGGCAAAGCTCTATGGAGATAGAAATCCATTTTCGCGTACGGAGTGATTTAGAAGACAGTTCACAGCATCAGCGAAGCACATAAGAACTGAAATACGATTTGCACGAAGCAACAAATTTCTGGATATTCTAAATTACACTTAATTATTCCATTTTATAACGATGGCGTATCAAGCATAAGCTGGAGCTTCTCATCGGCACTTCTAAATAATGATCGGCTCATAAACAGGCACAAATGAGTACGTGCTTGCATGCATATACACATAGAAGCACAGACACAAACTTGCCCAAACATACGTCCACATATGCACATGTGCGCATATATGCATGCGCGCACATATATATACAAACATACACAAATATATTTATACATAAATGACAAAAAGACACAAATATGTTTTGCATTTTATATATAAAACACACACGGACCCAAATACACACCCACTCATACACACATGCGCACGGACATATACACACACGCACACACACACACACACTGCGCATGCATGCACACGCGCAGGCACATACAAACATAACACAAACACGCACACAGACGTATGCGCACGTAAAGAGCAAGATTTGAAATCTGCGCAAGAAGGACGTAATTCCTCTTGCCTGCCCCGGGCTCGTTCAGTTCTAGAGATAGGTGCAATGAGAAGTTCTAGCAAAAAGAAAGCTTTCACTCTTTAATAAACTATTATTTTTTCGAATTAATTGGTAGCAAGAATATCTAGACCGTCCAGGATATGAA